CTTTGGCCCTGGCGCATCGACGCTGCCACCTCAGTCGCAGAGCCACCCACTGCCCATGGGATTCTCATGTTGCAATGACAGGAATTTAGGTTAACATCTTGCCTGCTTTCTTTGTTGTGCTGGCAAGGTGGCCAACTACAACGACCTGGTCCTCTCCACCGCCCTGCTGATCCTGTTGCTCCTCGCATCCCCGCTGCTGCGCCTGAACCAGACGGACACCAGCTTCCTCGTGGCGGTGCTGCTCACCTGCTTCTCTCTCCGGGCGCCAGGCATGTGGTGTGCAGGGGAGATGACGAGTGCCCGAAAGTACAGCATCCCCATCATCCCGCTCTACTGCGATGGCTTTGCCTTCCCGGACGAAGACTGCATCAACAAGATCGAGTCTGTGTGGACCGAAGAGCAACAATACACCTTGACGAGCCACGGCATCGCCATCGAGGACATCAAGGCAGGACGTCTGCGATTTCTCCGCCCGTCTTTTGGGTAAGCAATTTGCACTGCCCCGGGAGGCCACCTACCGGCACATCAGCACGCTAGAGGGCTATGCTCTGAGCCGGCACAGCAGCCTGGAGGAGCAGGAACGCCTGGTGCTGGACGTGGCCGCGGCCGTGCTGCGAGGCGGGGGCATGCGGGGGCACCTGGCATGCGGCACGTGATGGCAGTGCATCGCAGTGTCACTGTTCTTCCTCGCCAGGCGCTCGGCGGGCGGAGGTGGCGGCGCAGGGCTCCGTGAGCAGCGCGCGCATCCTGCTCTGCTCCAGCGAGCGGGAGCCCGAGGCCATCTCCACCGTGCGCCTTGCCAGCAGTCACTTTCCCGTCGCAGAAGGGCGTCATCTCTTCTGACTTTGCAAGCTTGCAGAGATTTGCAGAGGCTGATCCTGCAGCAGATGGTGCAGCAGCAGCTCCGCATCGCCACCTTCCGCGTTCGGAGTTTGAAGGACATCGCAGCGGCCAGCAGCGCCTCCTTCGCGCTGGTCTTGTTGAGCCAGGGGGTCCTCGAGGACCCTGACTTCGCGCTCCAGATCGGGCAGATGCGTGCCGCGGCGGCAAGCAGCACCAAGAAAGGTCTGCAGGGACGTTGTATGACATGGCCCGAATCCCTCCCGCCTGTCAGGAGCGCAGGGGCTAAGCTTTGTTCCTGTGAACGACGGCACCTTCCAGTTCCCGCCACCGGACTTCTACATGCAGGCGGGCGAGGGCCGCAGCCACAGTGCTGTGGGCTAGATGTTTAGGTATGATTGATTTCCTCAGGTGGAGGAGGGCGGCGTGGCCGGGCTCGGGCCAAATGCCGGGCGCAGCTTGGCAAAGGCCTACCAGGCCAGCCCGTGTGCTCGTTTGTGCCACAACTCCTCTCCATCCTTCTCTATCTCTCTGTTTTGCTCTTCCGTCTTTCTCCTTCACTGCTCCGCGCCAATGCTTAGTCCTTGGCAGCAGGCGCTGCTGGGCATCCTCGCGCTGCCCCTGACGCCCCACGCCTCCAGCGGAATCCTCGAGAGGCGCGGTGCCGGCCACAGCCTTTTTCCATGCTTTTTCGGCTTGACATGACCCTTTCCTGGCCCCTGCAGGCAGGTGACGCAGATCTGCCAAAGGTTCGGAAGCCTGGAAGACCTTGTCGAGCGCAGGCCGGTCCTCGTTTTTGCCCAGGTTGCTTGCAGAGTGTAGTGCGCCAGGACGCAATCCAGCAACAGAACCACCACTGCCGACGAGGTCGGCATCACTGACATCTCTATGTCCCTGACAGGCAGTGGCCGGCAAAAAATTGTTCGTGGCCCATACCATGAGTAGTCGTCTTGAGCATTCAAAGGCCCAGGCATGTATTTTGCATTGTATCTGGAGACTCAGATACGAAGGGCATCTGGAAGCAGCGTGTTGATTTTCAGGCTTCGATGACGTTGACGGCGATGCGAGAACCCCAACCGCAATCACACCTGACCAGGAGCCCGAGTGCATGCGCATCATGGGGGGATGCAGATCTAGATCGGAGTGCTGCGCATGTTGAAAAAAGCTGACACGACGACTGCTGCGAAAGGACGGCAGTGCAGAGCAAGACAGTGAGTATTCGATTCACGACGATCTTTGGTATACCTAGCCGGGCATGTCCGGATGTACCCCAGCCTGAACGTCCAGAGACTCAAGCAGCTCCCTGCCGGCTTCGTGCCGCTGGGCTCCTAAAGAGTTCGCTAATGCTCCAGGGAAGCTGCCAAAGGCAAACATGCTCCCTACCTTAAACCCTACACCCTAAACCCTAAACCCTTAAATCCTAAACCCTAAACTCTAAACCCTACCTTGAGACTCGCACCACCCCTCGAACGAGGGGCCTTGGAGATTTTTTCAGCCCATCTTTTCCCGCGCAGCTCCCGGGATGTGGGACTCCGCGTTTCTGGGTTCTTGCCAGGGAATTTACTTTAACTTGCCATGATAGGGAACTAGAGTGAATAATATGGTTCCCTTATCATAGTAGTTCAATTTAAACTTTAAGACCCCTTAACAAGAACCCAGGTTTTATATGCATGGCTTTCAGGTGCACTGGCTACGGTGCTTTAGTTCGTTCTTACCATGTTTACCCTGAGCTCTGCATGGGAAAAAAAGGACCCAGCTTCCCCAACAGCGCTCGCTCGGTAGTGGACTTCGTTGTAGGGCCTGGCCTCAGAGAGATGCAGGGTACAAAGAGGTACTGTCGGCACCTTAGTACCCCGAAGCCATGGGGATTATTCTATACTATAATATAATATAATATAATATACCTTATCATGGTGGGGTGGTGTCGAGCAAGGGAGGAGCAGCCATGGCCACATGAGGTCACTCCGGGTTTAGGGTTTTTATAGGGCCCATGTAGGGTAAGGGAATCAGCACCTTCATCTGATTCTTGCTCGGATATGTGGATGATGGCGAATCATGAAGAAGTTGAAGGGAATCAAACCTCAAACGACAGAAAGGGCGCCATTCTTTGTATGTCTGTCTACCCAACCATATCTCTCTCTCTGTCTCTCTCCATCTGTCCGTCCATGCATGTGTACGTAAGTTGCTGCTCATGTTTGGCACTTCATCAGCGGCTGCATACTCTGTACACGACATACCGAGATACTGCGCGCATGCTGCAGTGTACCGAGGTAGAGAAGATACAGGCGATCAAGATGAATATGATGATTCTGATCATGGCGGCGCTGGTGAACAGTATCATCGGTATACTGTTTTCATCATACCGTTCAGCATCATTATCATCACTATCTTCTTCTTCGTAATCATCTTCTTCCGCATCTTCATCTTCATCTTCATTTTCATATTCATCTTCATCATCATCAGCAGCATCAATAGCATTTTCAGCATGATCAGCATCACCATCACCACCATCACCATCACCATCAGCATCACCATCAGCATCAGCATCAGCATCACCATCACCAAACCATCACCATCACCATCACCGTCACCATCACACCATCACACCATCACCATCATGATGAAGATGATCATCTTCATCGTCTTCATCGCCATCACCATCATCATCTTCATCATCCTCGTCTTAATCATCATCATGATGGTCATCATCATCATCATCATCACCATCATCACCATCATCATCACCATCAGTCGTCTTATCAAACGAAGTCCTATATATCCCACGGTCGTGAGCAAGTTACCTTACACCACCGCACACTCAGCAATAGTGCTGAGAGATATGCCATCGTACAGAGCGTCGTATTCGAGTCTGGCAGTTTAGGGTTTTGGGTGTCGGGTGCGATCAGCACTGCATGAGCCAACTCCGAGGGATAGAGAGTTACCCGTTGTGTAGAGTTGTGTGGTGTAGCATTGGTTCATGTCCTTGCGATGGTGTCAGGGACGGTGCACATGATCTAGAAGCTCCATGTGCCGGAGCTCGGATAAGAGGGCGATTCGCTGCCGGCTCTGGACTCTGGAGCTGTATCAGCAACGCCGAGCAAGACCATGGGATCCCAAACCTCAGAATCCCTCTTCTGCCCAGGCCTCTACAGACCTCTGCAGCCCCACAGTACCCACTTTTCAAGAGCTCTTCGAAGAATTTGGGGCCACGGATCGCCTGCACATGGCGAGCCCTTTGCCGTGGCATGGCTGGCCGGAGCCTTGAAGGGTCGCAGTTTCTGAAAATGAGGGTGATGAGGGTTTAGGGTTGTGAAGGGTTTAGGGCTTAGGGATTTAGGGTTTAGGGATTTAGGGTTTAGAGTTTAGGGTTTAGGGTTTTGGGTTTGGAAATGTAGCTGTAGTTATTGCCAACTGGAAATGCACTTACAATCGGCGTGAACCTGGGCGGAAAGCTTCAACAGCCTTTACGACGTGTCACAGAAATCTCTACAGCCCCGCATGGACAGGGCCCTTGACACCTCATCCGCACGGCCGATCCTCCAAAAATACCAAGGAATTCAACCAGGGCTAGGAATGTGTTGAAACCTTGCTACATGAGCGGGAAAACCCTAAACCTTAAAGCCCCAAAACCCTAAACCCTGAATCCTAAACCTTAAACCCTAAACCCTGAACCCTCAAAAAAAAACCCTGAACCCTAAACCGTAAACCCAAAAACCCAAAACCCTAGTTCCTAACCTTAAAAGCCCAAAACCCTACACCCTGAAACCGTAGCTCCCTCTGGCGGTCCTCCGCCCGAGGCAGTCCAGCGGCATTTCTGGGGCTCACCCTGCTCCTCTGCTCAGTCTTGGTGCCTCAGACTGCCATCAGCTCCACCGTTTAGGGTTTAGGGTTTAGGGCTTAGGGAACTGAGGCTGAGGCCCTGAAACTCTGAAACCTAACTCGCTGAAGCCCTGAAACCCTTCACTCTGAATATGGCCTGCGGTATTCAGTAGTTCCTTGCACAGGTGCGCACCACCATCAGGATTGTAGCCGCTACAGACTAGCGCGCTGTCTGGGCGCACACAAAAGGAATAGGTGAAAGCTCCGACCGAAGCTCGAGGATGCTGGGGACCCCCTCGTAAAGGTACTAGGTGGGGAGGTTTATGAGGTGTGCCACCTACTTCCGGTACCGTTTGGGGGAGGGGGAGTCATAGGTACCGGGGGATACGGGGATGGCCTTGCTTTTCTCGTTTGTCGGGTTTAGGGTCCGAAATCCTCAACTCATCGCCAAACACGCCAGGGGCTGAGCGGCCGGACATGTCTAAATGACGCTGTTCCGCGCCAGCAGCGCAAAAACCTGACGGCCAATGGCACGAGCTTCCCTCTGGGCATCTGGAGCCCCGGTTAAAACTTGAGGGTTCAGGCACACGTCCCCAGTTTTACGAACCGGGCTATTATGGGGGTTTGTCTGGTCCTCATGGCAAAAAGCAGGTCTGATTTCTTGTCAAGTTTTGAAGCTTCCGGGAGCTTCGGGTTTAGGGTTTTGAAGGCAGCGCGGGGGAACGCATGGAAAGCCTCCCCGACTCCCAGGAATGGGCAGACCAAGTGGCAGATGGCGACCCCAACGGCAGCCTTCCAGATCCTGGCAGAGGAATACTTAGGCTACAATGTACGCCTGGAGGTGGCTCGCTAAATGCGGTTTTCGCTCGTAGACTGTGGGATGACTTCTGTTCAAGAGCATCTAGATTTGCCATGAAGCGCGCCAAGAACCTAAAGTCGTAGGATCCAGCGTCCGGTGCTTTAAGCCCTGCTTCCAAAAACCACAGAATCTCGAAGCGCAAGCCGCTGAAAGAGGAGCCTGAAGTCATGAACATGCCCCGGAGCCTAAGCCCAAATATCCCCCAAAATCCATCATCCTACAACGTCAGCAAGCCCTAAAGCCCCTGGATCTAGCCCCAGGGCCACAGCCTGAATTAAACCACACATGCGAAGGTCCTGACCCCCAGGGCCCCATGCCCAGCTGCCCCAGCTATCCCGAGAAGCCTGCGAGCTGACCGGCCTGAAGCCCCCCACACCCAGCAACTCAGACAAACCCCTCTAAACCCTAAACCCTATAAGCCCTACAAACCCTATAAACCCTACAGCCCCTAAACCCTATAAACCCCTAAACCCTACAAGCCCTAAACTCACATGTCTGGAGGTCGCCAACTCGCTGCTGCCGCAGGATTCCCTCTATGCCGTGGCCGGCTGCGAGAACCCCACGAATGCACAGAATCGCGGATGCCACGGCCAGGAGCTTTCCCCTGGGTTTAGGGTTTGGGGTTTAGGGGCGCTCAATCGAGGATGCCACGGCCAGGGGTGCCCAGAGCCCAGAGTTGGGAAACAGAGGTTTCTACAACTGTAAGGGTTGCGGCCTAAACCCTAAACCCTAAAACCTTAAAGCCCTAAACCCTAAACCCTAAACCCTAAACCCCAAGCCCTAAACCCTAAAACCCTAAGCCCTAAACCCTAAACCCTGTCTTACTGTACGGTTTCTTCGAGGGATCCAACCCCTTGCAGGTTGGAGTGAACTGTCGCTCGTTTTGGAGGGTCTTCTACATCCGAAGCCCCAGCTTGTAACACCGCCGAACTAGATTACCTAGGTAAGAACAAACGAGTGCATATGTATATTTTGTGTATATATGTATATATTACACACATCTGTATTTTGACTTTATTATTGGTTTTTACATACATATATTTATATACATACATGTACATACGCAGTATCTATATATATATATATATATATTTGCTAGGGCTCAGAAAACCGACTACAGCGTCGGCTAGCTGGAAGCCCCAGTGCCCGCATCATTGCCCATGTATGGGAAGGGCACGTCTAGAAGAGCTAGAGCTCGGTGGTGGAATGCGGATCGTCGTCAAGACATTGCCTGGCAAGGCTGCTTTAGATGTGGTGGATGCCCATGGCCAAGCTACACAAGCATGCTGACGGGGCCGGTGGTGTGGCCCACCATGGACAATTTTTGCTCGTGCAGGTTGAGCGGTGTCTATGTTGATGCCGACGCAGCAGGTCTCTGGCTTGATGGCCCCGAAGGGAATACATGTTACGATGATCCTTGTGAGAGCTTTTGCGCGAATGGCGCAGATGAAGGGTCGGGTAACGTTGCATCCGACAACATCCAGGCTGCCATGGACTTGCTTGGGGATGGCTATGGCAGGAACGGACTTTGCATGGAAGTATCTGGGTGGCTTGACGACGCAAGTAAACAT